GCATACCATGGCCCATTTTTGAAGGCAACAAGGGGGTTGTAACCCTAGGGGTGCAAGTGTGCATTGTGTTTGATTTTCATGCATTTTTGTCTTTGATTAGGTCAAACTATTTGTTAATTTGATTTTGGCATACAAACCCTAATTCTCTAATCATGGCATAATTGAAAGCGTAAAAGTGGGAGAATTTAAATTCTAAGCTTATTACAACATGATTATGGGGATGGGGGTACAATTTTTGAATAGGGGGTATTTGACAAGAAATATAAACCCTAGTTACTATTACATCCAAATTGAATTCTCAATTGCATCAATATTTAAATGTATAATATTTAAATAACAAAATAAACAAATGTTAAATAAAATGTATTATGCAAAGAAGAAGTTTTTATTTGTTTATGTATGTAAAATATTTTCAATGAACAAGAATATAAAGAAATGAAATAAAAGATTAATTTTATTTATTAAAGGGGTAAACCCTAATTTTCCTTAAGAAAATAATATTATATATTATTTATATACAAAAATATATTAATATGTACAAAAATGAAATATATTGAAGAAAAAGTATTTTTTAGTATAAATAATAATAAAAAATAAAAAGGTAATTTTTTTATATTTTTATTCTAATATATATATATATATATATATATATATATATATATATATATATATATATATATATATATATATATATATATATATATATATATATATATATATATATATATATATATATATATATATATATATATATATATATATATATATATATATATATATATATATATATATATTAAGTATGTATAAAATAAAATAAAATATATTCAAGAAAATATTTTCAGTGTGAATAAAAATAAGAAATAAAAATAAAAGTATTATTTACATTATTTTCAAGTTTTCAAATAAATTATAAAAAAAGTATTCAAAATGTTTTAATGTTTAAAAAAATAAAAATAAAAAATCAAATAAATGTAAAAAAATGTGAAAATATTTTTAAGTATTTTTTATATTTGGGGATAAATAAATAAAATCAGAAATGAAATTAAAATACAAAAATAACAAAATATAAAGAAATTGGGCCAGGGGGTGTAAAACTGAAAATGGGGGGGGGGGGGGGGGTGTTAGAAGCAGAAACAAGCCAGCCCAACCCATTTCCACTTCATCTTCTTCCTCCAGACAAAAAAACGCGCGCCCTGTATTCAAACTGCTAACTCCTGTATTTGCGATCTTTTGCCAAAACTCAAAACATGAAACTTGTAGAGCATTAAACCACGATTCTAACCATATAAAAACTTAATCTAACTCTCAAAGACCAAAGAGAATTTCTCTGACCCTAAAATCTAACCTAGTTTTTTCAGCATGTTCATGGATGAAATTCTCTTAGCACGCTTAATATAAATGAAAACTAAGCATATGTACAACTTCATGGCATTGACTACTACATTTTTCATTCACAAACCTAAGGCTAAATGTTCCTAAATAGAGAGATAGGAAGTGAGAAAAAAACTTGTTTCAGTTGGATTCGAGATGGACAATGCAGAGCTTCTCAACAAGTTTTGAGGTGCCTGGTAGCTTGCCTGAACTTCACTTGGTCTTTTCCAATAGCTAGTTTGCTTCGAATGTTCCTGAATCAGCCTCCAGAAGTCAACCTGCACAAGCTTGAAGTGAAAATGTTGAACACTATAAATGGAGTTACAGTTGGAAATAGAGGTTTGGGATAGCTTGAGTGAGGTTAATGGAAGGTATTGGAACAAGTTTGAGGCCAAACGCACATGTGGTTTGTGTGATGGATGTGAATCTGCAGGGAGTGCCCTGTTTTGCAAGAAGAATGTGATTTGGTGTTTTAGAAGGCTTGAGGGCTCAACAATTCGTGTTTCTGGCTCAAGGCAATGCACAAAACTTGTTTTGAATGTTGGCAAGCGTTGAATATATCAGATATGCAAGTTATGTCCTTTTGGCAAGTTGACTTGTTTTGAAAGAAAAGTGTGAAGTGATATGAGGTAGGCCTATACAGGCTATCTCCAAGCATGCACAAGTTTCTTGTACTTTTGCCTGAGTTTGTGGAACTTGTTTGCTGTAAAGAAATAAGTCCAAGGCTCAAGAAATACAAAATTGCAAAAAGTATGCTTTATGGAAATGGTATTGCAACCTTTATGCCATAAATGGATTTATTCATTGTGCCAAGCTCCATTGATCGGAATAATACCAATGTACAATGTATTTTCAATTAATTTTTGAGTGTGAATTGGTTTAGAGACCTGTAAACAAGTACAAAGCTAGTTTGGACAGATTTTGCAACTTGTATGAACATGTATTGACCATGGATACAAAGTGAGTTTTTGCCAACTTCAAGCATTCGATTCTCCCTAACCACAAATGTGTTTGAGGAGTTCTTGGACAATTTGGAAAGCTTGCAACATGTTCTATAATCCATATTTGAAGTGAAACTTGAGACTACAAGTGGAACTATGTGAAAAATGGCCAAGAAGATGGGTCAAAATCCTGCCTAAACTAGGGCAAAATTTCTCTAAGTTAAAAGTTTTAGGGACCCTTGTTCCAAAAATTATAACTTGAGATCCAAGCTTCTTTTGAGAAAACTTTGTGAATAAAAGTTGTAGATTTGTGGAGGATTACAACTTTAATGTTGTAAGTTTTGTTTGAATCCACTTGCATCATGGTGAAAATGTGGGACAAAGTTAGGAAAAATTAAGAAAATTTCATAACTTAGAAAAATTCTAAGTTATGAAAATTTTCAATTGCAAACCCTAATTTGCAATTTTGGGTTTCTTGGTGAACAAGTTTCATAATTTGACACATCTTGATGAATAATGACCCTTGGCACTTGATTTTGACCAAAAAGTCAAAGTTTGACTTTTCAGTGTACAGTCAAATATTGATCAGTTGACTGAAAAATTCATCTGTCAATCCAATGCACTTGAGGTCTTTTGAACTTGTTGAATAAGTAAATATGATTCCCTTGAGTCCTTGAGTCCATGGTTGAGCTTAATTTGCCATTGGCTAGGTCAAACAGTCAAAAATTGCCTTTGTACAATCAAAACCCTAAAAATGACCATTTTGCCCTTTTGGTGATCTGATCAAATTTCTTGTGGATTTGTGGTCCAAATTTGATCAAATGGTTCATATAAGTTCATAATGTTGATGTGGGTCAAAATTCATGACGTTTGACTGTAAATTGGTCACAGTTGACTTTTCCCTCAATACAGTTGATTTCTAGGTCAACTGTCTAACTGCTTGGGCAAAAATTTGATTCAAGGCTTGAAACTTGGTATGGGTAAACTTATGAGTCCAACATGAAGTATGAAAGTGAATTTGGGCATTGAAGGTCCAAAAATCCATGTGCAAACTCAAACCCTAATTTAGGTCAACAATGCAAGGAGGTGTCTTAAGCAGAGCAAACCCTAGCCTGGTCTTGAGTTCCAAGAGCCTTGTGATGAGAAATGTTGATAAAATGAGAGAGCAAATTTTGGGGTACAACACATTGTAACCAAATTAAATGGGTCGGGAGTCAATTAAGCTAGGGGAAGGTGTTAGGCACCCCCTCACCTTCCTTGTACTCAAGGGGAACCTTCTATAGTCTTAGGCTTTAAGGTGTGTTTGCTAAAGTTTGCATCGTTATTATTTCTTGCTTAATCTGCTTTTAATTATATACAAGGGAATGTGAACTATGCTAAATGTTGGTTTTTTTGTTAGATGACTCGCCTTGGTTTCACAACCGTGTGCCTACGTATCTTCATCAAGAGATGAGAGAAATCAGAGTCTCGTAGTTCGAATATATTTGGTTGGTGGCTTTTAAAATATGAAACAGTGTTTTGAGTTTGAATTAATTGAACGGGGGCGAGAGTGGATTTATCGTATGGAGCGAAAGAAGTTTGAATATTGAAAAAGCAAAGTTTGACGAGTTTGAATAGATTTTAGATGTGAATTTGAATAATTGTTTGATGTGGCGTGTGCCGACCAATCAAATACTAGAGGACGTGGTGGAAGTGCATCCACTCATCCTATTATTTGCATAAATGTTGGAGTTAATTTTGGTTTTAAAAAAACAAATTAATTCATACAAAATTACATTTTTAGATCTTGAACATCGATCAATAAGGCATTAAGCCGACCAATTAATTACTTGAGGACACAGTGAAAGTGCATCCATTTATTCTATTATTTACGACAACAAAAAATAATTAATTTCTTTTGTTATTAAGTTAGTGATAGGTGTTATGAAATATGTACAAGATATATTTTTTGATCTTTTAATTGTTTAATTAAAAAATTAAATTATTCTAAATTAAAATAATTATAACCTAATTAATTTAATTGTGTTACTAAGATAATTATTTACAACAAATAAAAAAAAACTAATTAATCTTATAAAAATAAACATTAACTTAAAAAGATAATTGATTAAATAACTAAAATAGGATGGAGTGCAAATTTGAATGAGATTGTGCAACTAAGAGAATTATAAGATCCAATACCCTAAACTCAAACCCCAAACCAACAAAAAAAATCTAATTCTAAACTATATTAAAATAAAAATAAATAAAAAATAAAAAAATTAAAGAAACCAATAGCAACAAGGGAGGTACAGTCTCTCATTTATTTGACTAATCCACAAAATTTACAATCAAATAAAATTGGTATTGGTATAACAATTAAAAGAAGAAAAAAATGGGAAAGCATGGTGACGACAACTAATAACATGGCACTCTTCCTTTCATTCTTTTTTGATTTTATTATAATTTTTTAAACAAAAACATAAACCCTATCATATGGTGACGCATGGCATAGCAATAAGTTAAGTAAAGAAAAATAAAATAACATGTATTAAGAAAACAATCATCTTTGACTCTCTTCCTTATTTTCATCGGATAACACAAAACTGGAACATAACTTTCATATTCATCAAGTTAAATTCACTCTCAAATACAAACTGAATTGAAAAATAAAAAGGAACCTTTGTCAATGCATGGAGAAGGATTACAATGATTGAAGCTTGGCGTCACAGAAGGTGGCATCGAAATCAGAGCGCTTTGCATGGAGGTTGCGCGTTGATGCGAGTTCACCAACAGATTCATGACCAGTGGGAGGGCACGATCGGAGGCGATGCCAACAAATTCTTTGATCCCAATTCTTTATTTTTTAAATTCGTTTGTGTTAATTGTGTTGTCGATGTTGTTGTTTTGATTGAACCTTATATTTTGGTTTATGAATTGGTGAAGAATTATTATTGTGCTTACCAGGTGTTCGATGAATGGTCTCCACAAAATTTCTTTTTTCTTTTAGCTTCTCTTTTGACTTTGGATTTATTTCTTTTTAGTTGTTGATACATGATGTTGCATGTTCTTATTATTGTTAGGCTTGGCGATGATAAAAGAAGATGATAATGGTGTTGTGTTTGGTTGAAGGTGATTTGTAAAATTGAATGGATTGGATTATGGTGATTGGCGACTCTGCTGGGGATAATTTTAAAAGTGGGGTTACCTTAGGGTTAGATTACATTTACTTGCTTTAATTATTTGACTTGTATGATTTACATTATGGTTCTTTGTTTGGGTATGAATCCTCTACCCGGATTTGGGATACCTTATAGGTAAGTAGCATTGCGTTATGAAAACTGTGCGGGATATACCGACATGGTCTAAGCAATAGCTATGTTAGTGCGACATATTTGTGGGTACCGGTAGCCCTTGAGTAGTCAAGGAGAATACAAGGCCGCTGAGTGATGTCATGAAGCACTAACTGACTTCTAGAACCTTTACTTGACCAACTTGGCCATTAGGACGTAGTGAGATGACCGACTTTAGTGCAGTCTGAAGTTGGTAGATACTCAACACTATACTCATTGAGGTTTGGTTTTTTGGGATATTTCGGTCGCCATAAAAGAGGGTTGCGCTGAAACAATGCCCAAGGAAACAAACCAGTGATATTGAGCTCCTTAGAACCCGGTTACTATTACTAGGACATGTTTGAGCCAACTAAACTTCAAGAGGGTACTTACTTATGAGACTCCATTCAAGCCTAAACCTAAGGACTTGTTTGTTTTGTTTGTATATATTTACTTGTACATGACATCATAAACATCATAACATGATACTCATACTCACTAACCATTTCAAGGATCTTGGGATTTATCTTTGTTCTGTTTTGTAGGACATGGATTTTGTTCACAGGAAAAGCATTCAAGTCAATCTTGTAAGGATCCGTCCTCAACTTAAAGAGCTAGCATCAATAATTCCTGAAAATTCTCCATTTACCGAGAGACATGGTCGCCTAATATACTTGGTCACCTCCAACACTAATGAGGACATGATGAAGTTGCTCTTCCAGTTCTTTGATCCTCTACATTATTGCTTTACATTTCACGATTATTAACTTGTGCCAACTTTGGAAGAATTCTCCCAACTCTTGAGGATTCCCATTCTCAATCAACTACCTTTCAACGGTACGGAAAGAGATCCAAATCTAGAAGAGATTGCTCAAGCTCTACACTTGCAACCATCTAATATCACAACTAATTAGGAAACAAAGAGTGGTGTCCAAGGTTTCTTAGCAAAGTTCTTGTTTGGGAAAGCCCAAAACTGTTGGAACTCTTTGGATTTGAAAGCTTTTAAGGAAATTGTGGCTCTCCTCATCTATGGGATGGTTTTATTTCCAAATCCTGACCAACTCATAGATGTGAACACCATCAAAATCTTCATGTCTCATAACCCGAATGTCGTCCAATGGTGGGGGCTATCATGATCCCTAAGCCTGTACCCACTCAACAAAGGAGCAATCAGCCTATAACAAAAAGACCAGTAAGACAATTTACCCGGATTAATATGACACTATCTCAAGTCCTGCCACATTTGAAGCGTATCTGAACTGTATCTGAAAGCTGAATTCTGAATGAGTATCAGAATGGCATCCGTATCTGGAGCGTATCTGAACTGTATCTGAAAGCTAAATCTGAATGAGTATCAGAATGGCGTCCATATCTGGAGCGTATCCGAACTTATGAATGCCATTACTGACGAAGAACTTAACAGAGAATCTCCTTAAGAACTTCTTATCATTAACTAAAGCTCCTTCCGGATACTCTTGAACCTCGAGGTACCTCTTGACTTCATGGAACCAAGGCTGGTCCACTACTTCTCCAGTATTGATCTCGTGACAGTAAGCTGGTTCATCCATCTGTTCAATGGTGATATGGGGAGCCTCATTACCCCACTTAAGTTTAAACATGGATGACATTGTGGCTAGCGCGTCTGCTAGTTGATTTTCCTCTCGTGGAAAATGCTCAAAGGTAATTTCCTCGAAATGAGGGATTAATGTCAACACATGTTCTTTGTAGGGGATGAGGTTAGGGTGTTTAGTGTCCCATTCTCCTTTGATTTGGCTGATAACTAAGGCTGATTCTCCGAATACACTTAAAGACTTAATCCCCAAATCTATGGCGGCTTTGAGACCAAAAATACACGCTTCATACTCTGCCATGTTATTTGTACAGTTGAAGCAAAGTCTTGCAGTGAAGGGAGTGTGACATCCTTCAGGGGATATAAGTACAACACCTATGCCATTTCTGAGTGCGTTGGACGCCCCATCAAAAACCAAGGTCCATTGGGATCCTTGTTCAGGTCTGTCATATGGTCTGAGTTTTTCACAGTTGTTTATCATCATGATGTCTTCATCTGGGAATTCGAATTTCATGGACTGATAGTCATCCACAGCTTGATGAGCAAGGTGATCGACTAGTACACTGCCCTTTATTGCTTTTTAGGTAGTGTACTGAATGTCGTATTCAGTGAGGGTCATCTGCCATCTTGCTATTCTCACAGAGAGGGCAGGCTTCTCAAATATGTATTTTATTGGATCCATATTGGATATCAATAAGATAGTATGGGTCAACATATACTGTCTTAGCTGGCGATCAACCCATGCCAGAGCGCGGTAAGTTTTCTCAAGCAGTGAATATCTTGTTTCACAGTCGGTAAACTTTTTGCTCAGGTAGTAAATAGCATGCTCTTTTCGGCCAGACTCGTCAAGCTGCCCCAACACACACCCTATTGAATTTTCCAAAACAGTTAGATACATGATCAAGGGTCTTCCCTCGACTGGCGGCATCAAAATATGAGGCTCTTGTAGGTACTCTTTGATCTTGTCGGAGGCAGTATGGCACTCGTCATTCCATTTTACTACTTGATCTTTCTTCAGTAACTTGAAGATTGGTTCACAAGTAGTGGTTAAGTGAGAAATGAATCTGACAATGTAGTTTATCCATCCCAAGAATCCTCTGACTTCCTTCTCGGTACGAGGAGCGGAAATTTCTTGTATTGCTTTCACCTTGGCAGGGTCTACTTCGATACTGTTGTACCCCAAAATTTGACCTCCCTTTTTCACAAGAAATCACAACCCCAGGGTTTTTCTCTGATTTTTCAGATCGACTCGAGAATCGGTCAAACAGACTCTTCTTTATCAGTTAATCCAGAATTAGGGTTTCCACTAATTTTGTTGAGATTGGCTCAGGATTTGATCAGACAGATCTTTCTTTGGCAGTGATCCAGGATTAGGGTTTGCGCTCGCATTTCTCAGAAGAAACTGAATCCTAAGAAATTCAGTTGACTGTTATATCATTTTTACGCTTGTTCAAGATTACTGATTATTTCTCAAAACCTAGTTATATGGGGTATGTTGTACCCCAAAATTTGCCCTCCCATATTCCCCAAGATTAGTCAAGAATCAGTCAAACAGAATTTTTCTTGTCAGTCTAGCCAAATTAGGGTTTTCATGAACTTTTGATACAGTTCAAACAAATTACTAAGGTTTGGTTGTGTTTGGTTCAAAGTTTGATCAGACAGGCATTACTTTGGTGTCAAGTCAAAAATCAGGGTTTTGTGTGCATATTTCTCAGAAAGAATTAATTCTATCAGTGCTTCTCAATTTACTCTGAGATATGGACTGAGGCTGTTGATTGAGAATTTGCAGTGTTTGGATTTAATCAGTGAAAAGAGGACATGTGGACGTTTGTTGTTTAGCTGTGCAATGCTTTGATTATTCGGAACCCCAGTTGTTTATTGATTATTTATTTGTTCTAAATTAGAATAGTTGGGATAAATTCCAGTTATTATAATTTAAGAAATATAAATAATTAAATAAATAATTGAAGAAGAATTAAAAGAAATATCAACAAAAAGACTTTTATTCATCTTTAAGTATTTGTACAATTTTTATTTGAATACAGTAATTATTTACAAAGTATTTACAATAATAATGTTACAATAATTAAAAGGAAAATAAAAATGCGTCCTAATTTTTCTAAATCTTCATCCTCCAGCTGCTACTCCTCTTTTGCTCCATTGATTTTTATCTGCAAAACAAAGGAAAAGAAAAAGTCAAAAGCAGATGAAATGATAAAAAGCAGACGGTTAAAAAGATCATCATTAAAAGCGACTGGCCGGAATCAGTTTGCCCTCTCTGCAAATCACGAGATTGCTCTCGGTTCACAAAGAGGGATAGAAGTTGCTTGCAGATAAAGTATGAAATGCGCAAAAGTTACAAATTGCACAAATCCAAGGTTTGTCAAACATACTGCATGAATCCAAAATTCCAAACCAAGGATAAAAGGCAAACTGAACTAGGCCTAACCAAATCAAAAAGGCAAACTGAAAGTTCCAATTTCAAACTGTCCACAAGATGCCAAAGAGCTATCAAAAGGCTATTCAAGGCTGTCAAAGAAGTACACAAAGATGCAGAAAATCTGGAAAAGGAGATAAAAGTATGCAGAGCTAAACAAATATTGCAAGCAATGTTCAAATGCATCATTTTCCTAGGCCAGTACCTTTTCAGAAATAGTACATTTCTAAAGCAATAAAAATGCTTTTTAAATGTGTGGAGAGAGAAAAAGAGAGAAAGAAGAAAGGCTTACAGGGCTTAGGCTTAGAAGGATATAAGACAAACTGAGATAGAACAGTAAAGGGGGCAGAATAACATAGAAAATACCAAAGCAAAAACGGTGTCAAACTTTTCAACAAGCCAAGCCTCAAAGAGAAGTCTCCCAAACTTGTATTCCAAAACAACTCAGAGCTCCAAACTGTATTAACAAACATCCTGCATAAAAGCCTAACTCCAAACTGTGTCAAATTTTCCAACAAATCCATATCCTTAAACATACAAACTAACACAAAATGTCAAACAAGCTTACAGCCTGCTGAAGCCCAAGCCTCTAAGCCCGGTCAAACAGCCAAAACCAGAACATCAAGCCTCAAGCTTAACAGCCAAACCTTGAAACCTGCTAAAGTTTAAACCTGTCCAAGCTTTAACCTGCATCAACCTTAAACCAGAAGCC